ATGCCAAAGAATGGGATTTCTATCGAATGTTTGGAATAGCATCTTTGGGTAAGATCAAATATTTGCTGTGGGCAAATATTGCTACCAATGAAGGAGATATTGCTTCTATCCTTTTATTGTTTCTGTCCTTTTAAACAGCAGCATTTAAACACTGACAGTTGCTTCAATTGTACTAAAATTCTTAAATGTGTTGTGATATATATTCATGTAGCCAATATTTCTCTTGCTTTCATTGAATTTGGCTGGAAGATATCTGACAGTCAAAAGATTGCAGCATACCATGAGTTAGCATATGTAAAAATATGTTGCACAATATTTATGAATGTAAATATTTTCCAGGAGATAGTGTCTCGAAAGGGCCTAGGAGACCCAAGTGCAAATCTCTGTTCAATCCTAAATCCCATGGCTTTTCAAAAAACACTTATCTCAGATTCTTCAAAACTGGATATTGTATTTGCGTAAAATACAATTATTTCAATTCGTAAAAATCAAAGATGTTGATATATAATTCTCATGGTATTCAGAATTCTATATACATACATGATTAACTATTGATTAGTGCTATACTAGTGTGTGTGTGTGTGCGCGCGCGCTTAATAATACTAAAAATGCAAATTCCGGGCATCATAATATATATATTGATGCTGCTTTGAAGTTTTTAATCTTTATTTCTTTGTACACTGCTAGGAGATATGTTGAGTATCGGCAATAAAACAAAATCAGTAAATAATAATAATTGCTGTAATAGCAAGAGAACCTGCTTTTCTTTGCTCTATTGTATTTGGGCTGTAAAAATCAAGAGATGGCAAGCAAGAGATATATGTAAGCTATTACATATTGTTGTCATCTAGTGGCTGTCAGATTTTTACAGCCTGAATATGGCAGCCTTAACTTTTCAGCTAGCTTCTGTCAATCCAAAATTGGCCAGTGAAGCTTTACTACCTAGGGTTGGACAGTTCACATGTTAAATGGCTTGAAACTACAATGTTTGAATTACAAACTCCTATGCCTAATCTAAACCCAATGCATGCCTTCCAAAAGAATATTTAAAAACGCATGTGCGTAAGATGTAGTAAAATACTATATAGCTACTTAAGGAACTTTTTATGATATCAGTTCTTTCTCTAAATGACATTTTTTTCTACTTATACCCATCTCCCATTCAGAACAAACTGCCTTTTTGACTGGCATCTTCACTGCTCTGTGGTTAGTAAGATCTGATGTTCTGAAAACCAAAGCAAATTTCATATTTCTTCTGAAAGCATTGCTGTTATCCAGCTATGGAAAACTTCTACTAATTCCAGCAGTTATTTGGGAGCATGACTACACTCATCTGTGTCTAAAGCTCATTAAAGTGTTTGTACTGGTGTCAAACTTTCAAGCAATTAGAGGTATTTTTCTAATTTAACTTCAGTATTACAATAATGTTGTTCAGGGGTAGATTTTCCAGCAGAGTTTCCACTACTTGAAGCAGATAGACATACAGCAGTACTGAAATTCTTGAAAGAGGCACTTCATTTCTTTATTAAAACCCTAAATACATAGAAATTGAAACAGTATGCATAAGACAGCAAAAACTGCAAACATAATATTTGATTCTAGTTAAAAACCGTAATTAAAACAATGGTTTAAATATATAACATGTTTAAGTAGTCTCTGTATCTAGATTTTGTTGTTAATTTTGTCTTGGAAAAATAAACAAGAATGACATTAGTTATATACAATATCCTTTTCTGTCCTGGAATTTGTTTATTTTTCCAGTTCTTTGCCAATGAAATATCAGTAAATTTCAGATATGTTCTTAAGTACTATATTCTCTATTGAGTTTTTAAGTAATCCAAACAGCATCACTTCTGGTGCAGTAATTTTGAATTTTTTCCCCTAATTTGTCTTTATCAGATGCATAAGAAGATCCCTTTCCAAATGTCAAGTTTTTAAAATAAAATGTAATAACTATTTAACCTACGCTAATATAATACTGATTTGGGCATAAGTATCACTATTAAAATTAAATTACTATATTTGAAAAGAATACCAGAATTGAATATTACTGAATTACTGATTTTCCTAATGTGCAAAGGATACTAACGAACAATTGTGCTCAACAAGGAAAGGCAAACACTAAGTAAGCCCATCCCTGTTTAGCTTCTGAGCCAAAACCAGGTCATCTCATTAACCAGAAATAGCATTTGTCCATACTAATTTGTTTCTTATTATTATGGAAATCTATTGGAAACCCTAGCACATTCTGTTTTTCTTTTGTTTTGCAGTTATTTTGAATACTAGCCGCAAACTGTGTCTGATGATCATTTTGAATGGATTACTTTTCGAAAATGGCATCATTTACTTGTTCCAGAAAATAGGATGGGATGTTTGAGATAATCTTGTTTCCTTAGGATGACAGTGAAAATATTTCAAGATGTAGAAAATATTGCCTTTGAAATCATTCACTTCATCACTGGTCAGTATTTGATTATTCTAAACAAAGTGATAAAGAAATGCTGAATGTAAATGAAACTTTCTATGCCAAACCAACCAATTGACCCATAGTAATTTAAGAATGATGCACTGATATTTATTTTTTATAACAATTTTGCTATTTTTGATGTGAAGGTGTATTAAAGAAAGAATATTGCTCTTTTATAATTTCAGATTATATAGCTGTGTTCTGTTTTTTTCTCCTGCATTAATTTGTAGTTAAAAGAAAAAAGGTGATTGTTTTATTATAAAGTACAAAGAAGAAAATGATCATACTAAAAAAAGGCAAAATGACAAAACAAGAAAAAACAGCTTGACTCAAAATGTATTCTGACAGCCACGCATAAAATCATAGTAAAGTGGCTTCACTTTGACATTTCTGGCAATTATGCTACTGGAAACACTGGGAATATATTATTTGTGGAGTTCTCATACTTTTAAGTTGATATTTATACATCTTCCAAGGAACAAATATAATTTTGTAGACATATTTATAAATAAAGGGTTTTTTTATGACTAAAGGCAATCCACTCTTTTTTTAATAAACAATATTATACCCACATATTTAGGAGAAAGCTTCAAGGCAGTCAAGGTATAGACGTATGCAAAGGCTTGAACAAATACTGCTTAATGTTGTTATTGATTCATTAAAAGTAAGCTTAGCAATGTCATCCTATGATGTTTGCTCGGAAAAAGTTGTACAGAACTACAATTACTCCACAATAAATCTATATGATTTTATTCTGAGCTTCAGAAGTTATCTGAACATGAACTGAATCTGCATTTAAAGTGATTTGAAAAATATTTTTAAATTATCTGTCTTGAAATACTTCCAGGGGAAATAAATTGTGTGACTATCACTGAGGGGGAAAAGTTCTAATTTATATGAATGTTCCATTCCAATTCCAAGGTGGAATCAATTTAGGCTAGTACAGGATAATAAGAGCTAATATTGTCTGCTTTAAATTATTTTAGAGCTAAGTAGGTTTTGGATGTACAAAACTATTAGTAGATTATTCTCTCTTTAACAGTTAAAGTTTAAGCAATACTATTCTTGTTGGGAAGAAAGTGATAAAGACTTTATTGAAAATAGTTATAGGAACAAAGTTTATCCATGTGCTACCAAAACTCTCATTATCATGACATTTTCTGGATGAAAATGGTGCATCATAGGGCAACAGTTTTTGAATCAAGGTATCTTAAGTGGGCTAACTTACAAAATGTGTCCCAAATCCAGGACCCATGACTCCCAAGGGAATGAAATATAAAGAACTTGTGACTGTTTCAGTTTTATCGGCTCCTGCTACACTGCTGGGCTCCTGTTATAGTCATGTAATCTTCATTTTCAAAGGTCTGTGAAAGTTCCCAGCCAGTCTCACAATCCCTTGGTTTATGCCCCATCCAGAAGCAGCCATTTACCTGCCTACTGAAAAGGGACGGGAAGGGGAAAGGAAGGAAGAACAGGGAAGAAGGAACCCCCATACATCCTGCCCTGGAATTGGTTTGAGTAATGACAAAGAAGGAGTGTTATGATTACAGGTAGTCTTCAACTTATGACCACAATTGAGCCCCAAATTTCTGTGGCTAAATGAATTAAGTCAGTTTTGTCTCATTTTATGACTTTTTTTGCCACAGTTGTTCAGTGAATTACAGTTATTAAGTTAGTAACACAGTTATTAAGTGAATCTGGCGTCTCCGTTGACTTTGCTTGTCAGAAAGTCACAAAAGGTGCTCACATGACCCTGGGACACAGCAGCTGCCATAAATATGAGTCAGTTGCCAAGTATCTGAATTTTGATCACGTGACCGTGGAGATAGTAAAATGGTGGTAAGTGCGCAAAACTGTCCTAAGTCACTTTTTTCAGCGCCGTTACTTTGAATGGTCACCAAATGAACTATTGTAAGTTGAGGACTACCTGTAATTATATTTTGAAAGTTAATTGTTAAAACAGTTTTTTTACATTTCAGAAAATCAAGTCAAATCTAGATATTAGATAAATACAATATTGAACTTTAATTTTTCCCGAATAGCTAATAAGCTACTATACAGGAGGTAGGAGCTATTTTGAGAATTGGCTTTTGGTCTTACCGAGTCAGTGAATTCTAATGATTAAAGGATCAAAGTATATAACCTGTGGAGGAATGACATGCTATAACATTTTCTGCCTCAGCCTTTTTCACCCTGTCTATTCAGGATCTCATTGCCCTGAATTTAACATAAGGGATTTTGTACTTCTTCCTGTTACTTTCTTAGCGCTCTGCAGGAATGGAGAAATAAAGAGGCAAAATGCTGACTCTAAGCCAAAGTTAGAACAGTCCGAGATAAAGAGGCAAAGCTTCTGCATTTTCTACCTGCTGATACATAATGAAAAAAGTGAGATGTCCATCTTGGTGCTTTATCCATGGTGCCATGGTGGCACAGTGGTTAAAATGCAGTATTGTAGGCTAACTCTGCCCACAGCCAGAAGTTTGATCCTGACCGGCCCAAGATTGACTCAACATTTAATCCTTCCAAGATGAATAAAATGAAGACCCAGAATGTTGGGGTCAATACACTGACATTTGTAAACTGCTCAGAGTGTGTTGTAAAGTACTGTGGAGCGGTATATAAGTCTTAAGTGCTATTGCTATTATCCACAGGCCAACAGGCCCCAAATATGCCGCCTCTTTGGGATGGCCTACAGCTGTTTCCTATAGTTTCCTATATTGCTATTGATGTAACAATACAAACTTGTAGTATTCAAAAAAACCAACAACTCAATTGTGTTTAATAGTTGTTGGGGTTTGTTTATTTGTTTGTTTTTTGTAGTAGTAGTTTGGTACCTTTGAGTAATTGTTACTGATGGTGACTGCCTAAATAAGTCCCTGCAGTTTTCATGTCAGGATTTCAGAAGTGGTTTGCTATTGCCTCCATCCTGGAACTGAGATAGAGTGATTGGTTCAAGGTTACTCAGCTGGTTTCATACCCATGATGGAACTAGAATTCACAGTTCTCCGCTATCTAGCCTGATACCTTAACCATTACACCAAACTGTCTTTCTTAATGGAGTTACCCTAAGGAAAATATACAAGATTTCAGATTAAGGAATTGTTGAAGGTGGGGAAGGAAGAGATGGTACAAACTCTCAGTTTATCAGAAAAGTTATGACAATAGAATATCTTTCTCTGTACTATTTTTTATATTAGAAAATGCAAAAAAAAAATCACACGTAGATTTAAATCATATTTGTATTCCTTTATACTATTGAAATATGGTAGGGAGGACAAAAAAGAAAATTAAATATAGCTCATCCCAAACAAATCTGGACCAAATTTTAAAATACTAACATAAGATACGTATATAATATGTATCTGAGGGATATTTCGCAGCAGGAAGCCATTTCTTTGGCTTTCCTAAGATTCTGTCCTTTTCTGTTTTTTTCTGAATTGGAAAAGAATGCTAGATGTCTGTAGAAATAATACCAGACAACATGTTGAGCAATTTGAACTTTGAGTAGCTTCATAGGAATGTGTTCCTAGCAGCAGAATTTACATTTTATAGATAAGCTGATAGGTCATTAAGAGGAAAAACTACTCTTTCTCTGTTTGGCAGCAAATAAGTCACTAGCTGGTCCAAGATTCTGCCGAGTAAATAAATATGTAGTATGGCCTAAAATCCTAACCGTTAAAGGTTTCAATATGTATATTTACTGAATTCATGCATTGAAAATTGGATAGGTAACACTTTACTATATTAATCAGTTTTGGCAAGATTAACACAGAGGATGGATTAGAATGGGGATTCCCTCTCTTCCTTCCTACTCAAGGCCATCATTTGCTGGGAATAGGACTCTCCCAACTTTGGAAATCCCCCAAAGAGAATGTGATTGTGTTGGGGAGACTTGTGGATTTGCTGGATCTACTGTAGTGCCCAATTGGTTTAAATGTATTTGTTCCCATTGTATGCAGTAGGCAGGATATTTAGTTTTCCTGTTACTGGCGAAACAGGAAGGAACAATGAGAATTTGCTTCCAACAGCACTTTAGGATATGACAGAGTACTTGACAGTATTTTATTGGCCTGATGAGCGTATAATGCAGTAATTTAAAAGGCCAAATTAAACAGATGATTCTAGATGCTTTTGCCAAAAGATCCACCATCAAAAGAATTTGTGTCCTTTTGGTCCTAGATTACCATTTTAACCACAGTGTCATACAGGCTGGACCTTGTTAACTATTTGCTATATTCAACCATTGAAATCTGTGTATCTCTGTAAATAGCCTATTGTACAATACTTGCTAGTTTTGAGTCCAGTGGATTGAGAATTGCTTACAGAATACCCATTGCATTTTTTATTCAGAAAGAAAAAAAAGTATTTCAACATTCACAAGCATCTGTTTGATCTCAACCAATTAGAAATTGTGATGGCAGCAATGCTCACACACCGCCAAATGAGAGAAATAATGTACTCAGATTGAAAACAGATTTAGGCAGCCATATTCTTCCTGTTGTCAGTTCCAAAGCAGACAAAAGGGATTCAGGCCTTATTATCCTACTGGTCATAACACGTAACTGGGAAGGACAACCCCTATATCAGGGACCTCCTGCTGGAAGGCCTACAAAACAGCCTTTCCCTAAGCAAGCCCTTCCATTCAAGTAGGAATATAGAGAGTTTTATCTAAATTTTATCTTTCTGGTTTTTGTGAAAGCTGAATTAGCATACCCATTGTTTCAGATATGTGCACTGTACACTGTTGTTTCTTTAAAAGTTGGGAGAGCGGGAAATAAGTAATCATGTAACATATAAATTTGAAATAGTGCACGCAGCTCATTGGACTAGGGTTTGGTCTGTAGTCAGTTATTTTAAATCAGCTGTCTGAATACCAAGGTTAAGCTATAATTCATTTCCTTTTTGGATTTCATATGCCAGGAAGTTGTAGCTGCTTTTGTGTCAGCGAAATGGACACAGGAAGGGCTAATACAACTTTTCAAGATTTCTTTCAGATGTACAGTGAACTTTCCACAAAGTTCAAACAATAGGATACGGATTTCCTGTCATTTTAATTTCCTACAATAATATTGTTAAAAAAACATACAACAAAAGAAATACGTTCAGCAATTGTATTTTTCCCCTGTAAGACTATTTGCAGTCTGTAATCTTAAAATCCTTATGTAAGTTAGGTCCTGATGTTTCCATTCTTGCAATGACACTTCAGATTTTAAAGAGCCTATTGGAGTATAACTAATACAGGTAGTCTTTCACTTAAAACCATTCATTTTGTGACCATTCAAAGTTACGGTGGCAAAAATGTTACTTATGACATTTTTCACATAACCATTGCAGGAATTCCATGGTTACATGATGGTTTCAGAGGCTCGGCAACTGGCATATATTTTTGATGGTCCTGAGATCATGTGATCACTTTTTGTGACCTTCTGACAAAGTCAAAGACAATAAACAAGGTTCAACATTTGAGACTGTACGCTATTAGAATCCATATCCGTGATTTTTAACATACCCTCTACAGTTCACATCCCTCTGTAATAGTTGCGGGTTGGCGTAGATGGAACGTTTTGGTTTAGTTGTTCAAACAGTTACTGTAGAACTGCTGGATTGCCATTCTTAAGCTGCAGTTGTGCACATCTTTTATGCAATGGTCGAGCAACCCCTAAATCAACATGATGCGTTTTGCATTGTTCTGACACTATCTTCCCACCCTGGTTTCACAAGTTATTTTCTAAAACAAGCTCCCAGAATTCCCAGGCGAATTGGCCTTTGTCTGTGTTGACTAAACTTTCTAGAACAGCGGTTCTCAACCTATGGGTCGTGACCCCATTTGGGGTCGATCGACCATTTTACGGGGGTCGCCAAACAATGCAATCTGCCATTTCCCCCCCTCGGGGCGGCGCCGCGCATGCGTGCCGCGCATGGGGGCGCCGCCGCGCATGCGCACGGTGCCACGCACGCGCAGCACGTTCGTGTGACGGGGGTCGCCGTCACACGAACGTTGAGAAACGCTGTTCTAGAATATGGCTCCAGAGAGTGCTTAGGCTGGGGAAAACCATTCTAACAAATGAAGACATCATTAGCCTTTTTAAATCAGTGTAACTGGCATAACTGCTCCTTAAAAACAGCTTTATGTCAGACTTTTGGCATCTGCCAAAATCAAAAGTGTTTCTCCCCCCCCCCCCCATGTGCAAGTTTCAGTTTCTTTAACAAGAGTTACTGGACAAAAGGGGACAGGGTTACAAGAATTCTGTCAATGAACTATTCTCCCTCTTAAACCAATATACCTCAAAGCATTGGTGTGGAAACTTCTTTATTTTCTAACTCCCGTCTTCTGGGCCAAGAACTATTTCATTGGTAACAAAGGGACCTAATGAAGAGTTTCTGAACTCTTTTATCAGTCTGGAAGCCTTTACATGTTATAAATCAAGGCCACAAGTAGAGAACATATTTGCCAGGGTAGAAACACAGCCTGTCGCAAGTTGCAGATCTATACTTGCCAGCATACTTGTCCAACCTTCTCATTACTGAGCAGGATGAGGATTACAGTTCATCACTATCTGGCGGATAACCGATGTTTTTTTTTTTTTGAATCTTTATTACATTGGTTGGTTTCAGCCTAAATGGATATATTTTATCCCACTGATTTTAGTGGAAGCTGACCCATAAGTAATCTAGAGAACTAGTGTACTATTGATTTCAGCCATCATATGCTAAATAAATAAATAAATGATTTCAGCAACAGGGGTGTCATCTTCAATTTCCCCAATTTTATTGATGGAGTCAATTAGGACAAAAAGTAAGGCTAGTAAAAAATACCCTGTTCCAAAAAGAGTTGAGTGGGCAGGGCTGCTTGCTAGGCTATTATTCTTTATTTATATATTATATTTATATGCCACCCATTTCCCCAATGTGGCAATTTTTTATTTTTATTTTTTTGTACTCAGTTGGGTTTTGAAAGCAGAGATCTCTTTTTAATGTGCAGGAGAACGGAAATATTTGGTGACAGACCTGGCAGGGTGACATAACAGGGATGGGTGTAGTGTACAATACAACAATGCAATAGATTAAAGAAGCTGCTTTTATAAGTGTATGAATGTGATTGTCCTTTTTACACATTTTGGTGTTCCCTTTGGATACATCCAAAGTTAACAAGCTTGAAGATTTATTATTTGTCATTTCAGTTTTCTCCTTTGAGGTTGAAAATACGTTTCCAAATCTTAAAATAGGACTTCCACATGAAAACAAATCACTTACTTACATGGTATCATATTCCTGCATGGCAAAACACTTTCCTTCTGCATATATCAATTACAAAGTATTCCAGGAAGCTGAAACCAATCAGGTTCTGACCATTATGCACAAGACCAGTTCAAAAGTTTCCATCTTCTGCTCGGGGTTCCTATAAACTTCTTCATGTGAGGTAGGCTGTGGATTTCTGAATGTAGTCCACCAAGGTAGCCATGCAACTTTCCTTGGCTACCTCCAAGTGCTAAATTACATGTCCATGAAAAGGCTTAACAAATTACAGTTCCAGTTCAAACGTTCATTTGTTATAGTACAAAAAAACACAAAACTGTATATAATAACATACACACTAAGGCAGTGGTTCTCAACCTGTGGGTCGGGACCCCATTTGGGGTCGAATGACCATTTCACGGGGGTCACCAAACCATGCTGTCCGCCATTTTTTTCCCTTTTTCCTAGCTGTCCTACTCCCTCTTATTGGTGGCCACACCCACTTGGGGGTCACCACAACATGGGGAACTGTATTATGGGGTCACGGCATTAGAAAGGTTGAGAATCACTGCACTAAGGTCTTTTTGGACTGTAAGAGACAAATTGACCATTTGTCTTCCAAGCATTTTAGTATTACAAATGATGTTGTTAATCCATGTATGTTAAACTAAAATTATTAGCTGGACAATGAACAACTAAATTACAGTTATGGAAGCTAATGGAGCTGCAAGGTGTACAATGAGCTGCTCTGATTTGTTCTTATTGCATTTGAGTAAAAATATAGGAAGTGTTACACAATTTTATTACACTGGTTTAAATAAGTCATTCTGACATTAGCCAGAAAGAATGGGAACTGGATCATCAACCCAAGTAAAAACTTTGGAAGAAGTTTAAACTATTGAGATATTACAGAATTCATCCTTTATGGCAGTGTTTCCCAAACTTGACAATTTTAAGGCATGTGGACTTCAACTCCCAGAATTCCACAGCCAGCGTTGCTGGCTGTGGAATTCTGGGAGTTGAAGTCCTCATGCCTTAAAATTGTCAAGTTTGGGAAACACTGCTTTATGGTATAAAACAGGTAGAATTCCAATCCCACAGATCAGAGGCTTTAAAAAGGTGTTGTTTATGGAGAGATCTATTCAGTGATTACAAACATACAAACTATATAACTACATCTTACATGTCAGAATATTTGAGATGAGGTGTACAATGCCAGGCTTCTGTTTATACAAAGATAGCTGTCAACATCTGCCATCTAGAAACACCCCGTACACAAATTACACTGACATAACCTGTCAGGAATGCTTCGGGAGGCTTCAACATTCATTGCACATTACTTTCCTAGAGCAGGATTTACATAATGTGTAACTTGGGTTAAACAGCATGCCGGAAATAAATGGAGCAATTCTTCTTGAGCAGAAGGAAGAATGTACTTTGTTCCAATTAAACACCGCTCATCTCTTAACTGCCAACTCCATTGCACTCCAAAAAAACAAACAAAAAAAAAGGATTTCCTAAGAAATATTCATTCTAAAAAAATTCCTCTTCCTCATCAAAAAAGCCATTTTCCAGGGCATATGCACAGTCTGCACTTGATACTGCTTGGCAGGCACCTTTATATTCCTGAATTGACTCATAAAGAGAGTAGAGTTGACACAGTAATGACATATCCAGCTGCCGGAGGCCAACCTAGTAAGAAAGAAAACACATGTTAATATGCTTGATTTTATCTATAAGATGTTGTGGCCCATGCATATTTTTCCTACCACAATGATTCTATCCTCCCCCTCAAAAATAATAATAATAAAACCAGTATGCCTGTCAATTATACAGGAAGACTGAACTACAATATTTGGACATTTGCCAGACATTTGACTGGCAAAAGCCTTTCTTAAATACTTTTTGGATTTAACTCATTTACAACTAAAGACAGATACTCCAAACAGCAGTGAAAATCAAAGCAGGCGCCTTCTTTCTGAGATTAAGCAGAGAAAAAAAATGCTACTTTGAAGGATTTTAATTTAAATGTAAAACACTTAACATTTTGATCCAAGAAAGTTTTAAATGGATAAAGAGGGCAGTATTTTTTTTAAAAAAAAAATCCGATAAAAGGGCCTTCAAAACAGCAAAATTAATTAGCGTAATAGACTAGACATTTGTGAGAATGATGATTGTTTATTAAGGAGAGTAGAATAGAATAAAATACTTTATTGGCCAAGTGTGATTAGACACATAAGGAATTTGTCTCTGGTGTAAAAGCCCTCAGTGTAAGTAGGTAACTCACTGATAGTAGGTAAATGGTAGATTTTACCAAACAAGATAAGAATAATATGAGCTAAATTGTGACTGTAACTACAGAGAGCTAACTGAGATAAAAGTAGTAAAAACAGAGGAAAACAAAAGGGGGGGTGGAGGAGGAGAAACCTGCACTTTATTTTTGCAAAAGTAATTGACTTACTTCCTCATAAAGGCAGCCACAAGAAAAACTGTTAATTTAGGAGAAAGATGGGGAAGGCTCACTAGAACAATTTACAGATAAGGACATTTCACCAGTTTTATTGCAGAAAATGTTTTGAAGAAATTGGAAAGAAGATGATTGGTTGCCAATAGTTTGGATGCTTTAAAAAATGGAAGAAGGATTTGCAGGAATAAAAAAAAATACGTAAAAGAAGAACTTAAGAAGATTGAAGAATCTTTGGGGAAACGGCTGGAGAACTAAATTATTGATAAAGTGGAAGTTTTGGAAAGTAAGGCATAAGTTATAAATAGAGAGATGGAAAAGGATTTGGCATTATTGGAAAGAACTGAGAAAAAATAACTTTATTTAAGATTTAGAGCAATTCCAGAAGGCCACAGAGAAGATGTCAGAAAATAAGATTGTTAAATCTGTCCACTTTCCTGGATTGGGGGGAAGATAACATTGACACAGAGACGGATAAGGTTTGTAAGATTAATACAAGTTTTGCAAAATTATGAATTGTTCCAAGGGACATCCTTGCGCACTCTGCCAGGAATAAGACCAGAGATCATGTTTTACAGCAATATTTTAATACTATATTGCAGATTGATAATACAAATGAAAATAGAACTTAAGATAATTCCAGAAAGATTAGTATGTAAGTGAAAAGATTATCTTTCTGACAAATTTAAATAGAAGAACATTCCAGTTAGATGAGATAAGTTGAAAGGGGTTTTTACTTTTAAAGACAAAGATTCAGATTGAACTCTATGCAGACAGCAAGAGACGTTTTTGGAAAAATCTAAAGGGAGCCAGTTTGGTCTAGTGCAGTGGTTCTCAACCTGTGGGTCGGGACCCCATTTGGGGTCAAATGACCATTTCACGGGGGTCGCCAAACAACGCAGTCCACCATTTTTTTCCCCTTTTCCTTAGCTGTGCTACTCCCTTTTATTCTATTGGCTTTTGAAAGCCAATAGAATAGACTCTCTTGAATAGAGTCTAATTCTATTGGCTTTCAAAAGCCAATAGGAATTGTCCAGGCTGTCTCTGCCCTTCTGAGCCCGCCAAAAGTCCCAGTCTGCAAACGGTGCTGCAAGTTGTCTGCAGCGAAGGCGAGCTGTCTGGAAGTTTCCACCCCTCCCTGCTGAGCAACTACTAAAAATGTAAGTAAAAGAGGGCCAGGGGTGGGAGGCCGGCGGACGCCAGGAGGGTTGCTGGCGCACGTGGGGCCCGGCGGGTGCCTTACCTCCCTTGGGCTGGGCCAGCTGGTGGCCCAGCCGGTGGTCGGCCTGCGCAGTCTCTGCCGCTTGCCAGCTACGCCTCAGCCGGCGCAGGGGGTGGCACCACGCATGTGCGGCGTTCCCGGGCAGGGAAAGTCCTTGACTTACGACCGGTTGGGTAGTCCTCGACTTACAACCTGTTGGGTAGTCCTTGACTTACGACCGGTTGGGGGACGCAGCATTAAAAAGGTTGAGAACCACTGGTCTAGTGATTTATTTTAAGGCACTAGGCTAGAGACTGTGAGTTCTAGTTCTGTCTTATCCATGAAAGCCAGTTTGGTGACTTTGGGCCAGTCATTCTCTCTCAGCCCAGCTCACCTCACAGGTGATTGTTGTGGAGAAAATAGAAGGAAGGAGTATTAGATATGTTTACCGCCTTGAGTTATTTATAAAAATAACTAAGAGAAGGATTTATAAAGTTTAAAACATAAAAAAAAAATAAATAAGAAGTGGAGGAAAAACAAATGGAAGTGACAATGACAAGTAAAATCCAATCCATTTTTCATAAAATCAGCACACCTAGCAAATCCAATCCAGTTTAACTTGACCCTTAAAGAGCACTCAGATTGATAAAGTGGCTTTCTACAATGCTGGTTTATGTTCAATTACTACACTATTTCTCACATTGACGTGATTTCCCAGGCCAGATTAGGACTAGCTGCCTTAAGAATGTAGGAAGGACATGGCCTGGATCTTTTGCCCACTTCCATATGGTCATTTAATAATTGAAAAAAGTGCAGGGTATAACTGAAGTCTATGGCATTTTATAGTCTTTATACACAACTCTGATTTGCATGTTACATTACTCCTTACTTTCTGCAGTTACCTCAATAAAGGACTATGCATGTGAAAGGGAAAAGTAGATCTTATTTGAAATATAGTACGAATATTTCTTTTCTTTTAGCAGGGGTTGGACTAGAAGACCTCCAAGGTCCCTTCCAACTCTGTTATTCTGTTAAGTACATAAGATCACAATGGATTCCAGAACTGCCACAGTTTAGCTGATATATATTTTTCTTAATTCTATTGGTTTTTGATGGCAAGAAAAATATCCAAAAGTTATACAGATACAATAGTATTTCCATCTAATTAGTTTCTTATCCTAAGATACAATCTCATCATTATATATCAATCACACAGCCAAACTCCAGATCCCCTATATATATCTTTGTTATCCTTATTATATTTATATGGTTTATAAATTGATATTGCCCACTCACTGTTTGTATACATTCTCTCATTCTGTGTACACACTAAAATCAGAATAAAGGATTCTGAGGAAAGTTAATTTGCATGGTGTATGATATGCCCACTATTTAAATTAGTAGCAGTAATATCACAAACTTTCCCAGCTCCCCGCTAAAATAAGGAAAATGCTGTGAGAAAAAGGTTAGCCTTTTCTACACGTCACACCTCAGTCCCATTCTTTTCCCATCTTTGTTAAAAATGACTGCCTGTTTTGGGGATAATTTGCATCTGAATAAATAGCTTCAGTGACTGCATTGAAAGGAAGGAATGGAAAACACAAATATGAGTTTTTGGTTTTAATTGCTGCCAGTTCGACAGTATCTCTTAGATGAGAGATAGGCAATTTATTTATTTCAGTTGTTTTGGACTGCAATTTCCAGAGTACCTGACTATTGACTAAGGTATTTGTAGTCCAAAACATTAGGCTGATAACCAGTTGCCTTTTATTATTCAGTCATTGCATAGGTTCAGATCCTCAAACTTTTGTGTGGTGGTGTGTATGTCATCATGATAATATCTAGCCACCTTATCTGCTGTCAGTCTCTTCAAAGGCTCTGATTTTTCCAAACAACTGGATCTTCTCCGATTACTCTTGTGTTTACATTAAGTGTGCAAAGTATGTCAGCTTTAGCCTCATTATTAGTGCTTTTGATATGTAGTCTAACTGTAGTTCATCTAGGATCCAATGATTTTTTTTCTTCTTCTTGCAGTCTAATGTCATCGGCCATCTTCCTCAGAAGCACAATACATAGTACTCAATTTATCTTTACTCAAGCTTTCTGATGATCCCACTTTCACAACTGTATGTTACGGCTATAGCCCTGACAAAACATACTTTTAAAGTCAAGATGTCTTTGCACTTCAATATTTTTCTAGATTTATCATAGTCTTTATGACAATGCTAAATGAGGGGGGCTTACAATCGGTCCTAGAAGTTGCGCCCATCACAATGGTCCCACAATCACAATTAGGGCACTTGACAACTGACTCGTAATTACAACAGTTGCAGTGTTCTATGGTCATTTGATCCCTTGTGGCCTTCCCTGCCAGCTCCCCACAAGCAGGGTCAATGGGAAAGCTGGCAAGAGGTTGCAAGTTCCCACTGCTTTTTCTTCCAAGAAACCCTGAGTGGCATGGGCATCTTGTGTTCTGCAGTGTCCACTCACAGCACCCACTTGCCCGCACTCTGTGGCACTCACCTGTGGCTCTTGCCTACCAACTCATAGCTTTGCCCCACAGCCTCCTTGCTTGGAGCAGTTTCGGTATCTCTTCCCATGTTTGTGGCCACGTCAGATGCTTGCTTAATGATCTACAATCCTCACTTAACCATGGCAACAGAGACTTCTGAGATTGCTGTTAATAAGCAATGTGGTCATGTATCATCACGCTTTAGGATTGCATCACTTAGTGACAGAAATTCCAGTCCCAATTGCATCATATCCTGAGGACTTCCTGTATTCTGTCTTAACTGTGTTTCCTGATCATCTTTAATAGGCAATTTGCCAAGTGCACTTGTGGATACTCTTAACAACATGGTAAATTCGGCTACCTCAGCTGCCTATTAAAGATGATCAGGAAGCAGTTAGAATGGAACCTACAGAAAGAAAAAATCCTAGATAAAAACAGACATATTTTTGAAACTCCCTTTCCTTTTCCATTATTCATTGGATATTAGCAATGTGATCTCAGCTGCTTGTTTTGAA